AAAGAATTTGCTATATTTCCCCTATTGGGCCGCGCCTCAGCCCCCAGGTGGGCCCCACTCACCATTTATACAAAATTGGTTCCCCTTCTCCCAATAATGCTTCAGACCAAATATGGACCACATCCTTTCATTCCTACAGAAGAAGAAGGATTTTAAAGAATAATTTGCTATGTTTCCCCTATTTGGCCTCGCCCCTCAGGCCCCTGGGAGGCAGACCCACAGTTTATACAAAATTGGTTCATCTTCCCCCAAGGATGCTTCTGACCAAATATGGAATAAATCCGTTCATTCCTACAGAAAGAGAAAGATTTTAAAGAATTTGCTATATTTCCCCTATTGGGCCCCGCCCCTCAGCCCCCAGGTGGGCCACACCCACCATTTATACAAAATTGGTTCCCCTTCACCCAATAATGCCTAGACCAAATATGGACCAAATCCTTTCATTCCTACAGAATGAGAAAGATTTAAAGAATTTGCTATATTTCCCCTATTGGGCCCCGCCCCTCAGCCCCCAGGTGGGCCACACCCACCATTTATACAAAATTGGTTCCCCTTTACCCTTTTGACTTCCGTCAGTGAGATGAAACCTGTAAGGGCGGAATCATGTAGGCGCGAAACCCGTCATCCATCCATAATGCTTCAGACCAAATATGGACCAAATCCTTTCATTCCTATAGAATGAGAAGGATTTTAAAGAATTTGCTATGTTTCTCCTATTGGGAACCACCCCCCAGGCCTCTGGGGGGCCAGACCCACGGTTTATACAAAATTGGTTCCCCTTCACCCAAGGATGATTCAGACTTAATATGGAACAAATCCTATCATTCCTACAGAAGAAGGATTTTAAAGAATTTGCTTTATTTCCCCTATTGGGCCACGCCCTACAGCCCCCAGGGGGCCAGACCCACCATTTATACAAAGTTTGTTCCACTTCCCCCAAGGATGCTTCTGACCAAATATGGAACAAATCCTTTCATCCTACAGAAGAAGAAGGATTTTAAAGAATTTGCTATATTTTCCCTATTGGGCCCCGCCCCTCAGCCCCCAGGGGAGCCACACCCACCATTTATACAGAATTTGTTCCCCTTCCCCCAAACATGCTTCTGACCAAATTTGGTCAAAATCTACTGGTCCGTTCAGGACAAGTAGCGTTTTAAAGCAAAAGTTGACGGACGGACGGACGGACGACGGACGCTGCGCCATGGCATAATTGTAGCCAGCTGATATGTCAAAATGATCAAAGCTTTAGTATTTTCCTGCACTTTCTTTATTGCTTAACAGCAGGAAAGTTCCCCTTAATATGCTACACACACAGGATTACTCTGGTTGGGGGCACTTGAACAGAAATACGTATAGTATATTTCTGTCCAAGTTTGTGGCATTTTCTATTGAAGATCCCCAATCTTTTGTTGCCTTTATACCATCAACATGTATCTATACCATCAACATGTATCTATTGGTCATAATTTCATTACTGGCATTTTAATCAAATAAATGCTCATTTTCGACTAGACATGTATTTGTGTTATTATTGGGCAAAAAACGGAGCAGAGTATATCCTGGGTGTAGTTAGGTTGTTTGCATGCTAAACACGAGAGGATAATTGTATTTATGTTATACATAAAGTAATTTATACAATCTGTTTAGTAAATGCCTATTTTTATTTGTTGTATTCAATCATTTAAGTTATATGTAATTCTAGTCCTTTTATTCCGGAAAGGTAAAATGTAGCCAGCCCGGGTAAGGGCTGGTCGACCGGAAACGTAGTTTGACGACTAGTTTTGGTGTCGGATGTCACGTGACACTCCACTGAAAAAAAAATATGTAAACACAGGAAGGTTTCCACGATGGTTTAGCAAAGAATTTGTTTTCCCTCCTCCTCCCCTGCATGTCCACCGTATTATGACTGTACAAATATAGCTATATGTATAAGTTTGTGGCGTTTTTCTATTGAAGATTCCCAATCTTTTGTTGCCTTTATACCATCATCATGTATCTATTGGTCATAATTACATTACTGGCATTTTAATCAAATAAATGCTCATTTTCGACTAGACATGTATTTGTGTTATTATTGGGCAAAAAACAGAGCAGAGTATATCCTGGGTGTAGTTAGGTTGTTTGCATGCTAAACACAAGAGTATAAGCTCACCTGCCCTTCGGGCATAAAATATCTACAACATGTTACAAAAAGCGTTTTTTATTGAAATTGTATAGATATAAGTTACTAAATACAAGCTAAGAGCAAACAGGAAACATAGTTTCATACAAAAAGAGTGAAAAATTGAACCAAATACACACAAAGTCTTTATAATTTATTTGTTTTACATTTTACAATAGTTTTGATCCTCAACCAAAAACGACGGATATTAATTAAATTACTATATTTAATTGTCAATTTACTGTTCTTTTATGGAACAAAATTACTGTCAATCATGTACACTTTGGAAATCATTCCATAGCCCGCTTACGCATGGTATATTAACATGTCAGGTACATATGTAACCATAGGCGTTATTATGTGCACGCACATGCACTTGCATTTTATAGGGATCTTTATATTTTATGAACCACTATTTTCACAGAGTTATTGTAATTGCATTTGTGAATTGATTTATCTGACAGAGCGTAACTTGCTCGACAACAAAAGTCGTAGCGACCAAGAGTTTGTGAACTACTATTACGTACAGGTGAGGTCGGTAAACAAAACACATCAGTCTGCATTCCATGCGCCTCATATACAACCTTCTTAATGTCGTCTGATCGTATGTCAGTGGTATCAGTGTTTTCCCCGTGAGTTAATTAATGTCTTTGTATCATAAGCTTTATTTGTGAAGTATGTGGGATTAAACATTTACAAGTTAGGTCTCAATATCAGTGTTGACATATCATCGTCACGCACGGGTATTGTTTACCCGGTGTTACTATAATTTACACTACGGTAATGGAATGCCCGATTAGCAATATATAAAATGAATACACGAAAATACGACAAGAAAAACATGTATTATGAAGGGTGGGAAGTCCTTAAGGCAGGGTGATTTGAATAGCCCACTATCAAATGATGGTGGGCTAAAAATAATACCTGATTTGATGGTGGGCTAAAAATAATACCTGGTATCGACCTTAATTGTTTGATTTTTGTTGTAAACTTGGCACAGTGAAATATTGTAGATGTTAATGAAGAAAGGAATTTGCAATTCAACAATTTTTCCTTGAGTTATGGCTCTTGAAACTTAATTTTTTCCTGCAGAAACAAGTATAAGTGCCAGCCAGTATCTTTGTGAGCTTACTCACAGTTTGTCTAGTATCATACCGGTCTCATATTACATTGGAAGGCATGTTATTTTATGCCATTTTACTAAACCAAAACAATCTGCTCAATAAGGAATATTTTAATAAATATTAATATTATAGTAAAAAAGGAGCCATTACCCAAAACATTTGTCATTTTTATAAATTCAAAATTATATTTTATCATTTTTTTATCCTTGAAATCAGTCATGGTCATCTGTCTTAAATCTTAAATTTTAGATCTTAAAATGTACGATTTTTGTTTGTTTAATCCATGCAGTAAAATAAGAAGACATTTGTTTAAAGAAATAAAATATTTTCCCTATCTACTTACAAAAAAAAAAAAGAAAATCCAGGGTGGAGTTTAGCCTAACACATTTCATTAATACTGGCATTGATGACTTGGCGGTAGTGTTTATTCACTTGGTGTTTAAAACCATATTTCGGCATGGCAATATTATTTGGAATTCACATAGTGGAATCAGACCAACTTTCAAGATATTCAAACTTGAATATGTCATGATTGTTAATTTCGTTATCAATCAACAGTATGATTACAAGGATTCAAGATTTTCTTCATTTTAAAATGATTGAAGAGTTCCTCTAATTTGGTATTTCGTAAAATTAACGGAGCCGATTACAGTATGGCAGACTGTGTCAAAACGACTTGAGGCAGCTTTTTTAATTTTGTTGACTTTCTTAATATAATATATAATAGGTGGCGATATGTTTTTATTGTTTGTCGTACTGTCTGTTGTCACATCTGACACCTGATGTCGGTCGAACCTCGGATTTGTCGAATACCATGTATACCTCGAACTATTGATCTGGACCCTACCAGTTGGAGTAAACGGGGTTTTACTGTACATTAATGAATACAATTTTGAGGAATTCACAGCAGCTGCCTTATCAGGCGCTAACTGCTAGTCCTATGCCACCTGGCTAATATTTCCCTATGTGTGTGTGCCTGTGTGTGTGCTGGAGATATATTGTTGGAGAGGGGGATATCTTTTTATCCATTATAATAACAGGGGTTCAAGATGTTCTTCATTTTAGAATGATTAAAGAGTTCCTCTTGTTTTGACATTTTGTAAAATTAATGTAGCCGAATACTGGTGGACTGTCTAAACAACAAGTACAGTACATATACAGTTTCTTTACTCAACTTCCTTTCTTATAATACAATGTACTGATGTTTTCATTGTTGAACACTTCGATATCTCATTCAATGTTCACATCATTATTATCATTTTTACTGCCATAGTTTGCAATGTTTGTGCTGTCTGACATCCCACCAAAACATGGCAATGTGGAATGTACCTCAGATCCTTTGAATAACATGTATTCCTCGAACTGTTGATCTGGACCACCAGTTGGGTGAGTGGGGTTTTATTGTATACAAATTGTATGACATCATATCTTTCTATTATTGATTATAACAATTAACAGTCAACTGTGTCCAATATGAGATCAATCAACTCATCATTAATCACCTAGACACAACCAGTTCTGGAAAATACACTAAAACTGAAGTCACCAAGAGAGAAAATGTATGGAGTTTTAATAATTACAATGGGATACTTTTATTATTGATTAGTACTATAGTACTCTTTTGAATAGGGAGATGCATGTATTAGATGGAAGATATACCATACCCTTAATATATTTCCAGGCTGAGGGTAAAAAAACAAGATTTCTATGCTGACCTTGGTTTGAACTTGGATTTCCTTGTAAATCCGCGTATGTAGCCCTCTCCTCCAAACAAACCCTTACGGATGGCATCAGGGTAGGTGACCTCTGGGGGAACATCTTGTACCGGGACCCTTCAATAGACATACACTCAATTACAAGTCAATAAGGTCTCTTTAATGTTTGTTTCAAACATTCAAATTTCGAACAACACCTGTAAATGCATCACAACATATAATCTTATGGAATAATTCCTTTTTAAACTTAAACAAATATTTCACCACTGTGACGATGGTAATACTATATACAGGCAATATCAAGTACACACTTCATACAAGGCATCAAATCACTTAATTTCATCATGATAAAATCAATTTTAAATCATAAATGTAAAATTTGATTATAACAGACACATATTACACAAAATCAGGACGGGTGTCAGTCTTACAGAATGACGTAGGGGTCATTTCAACACGTGATCCTGATGTCAAAACTACAACAAGAGGCCCAAGGGCCTTAGCGGTCACCTGAGTTATATCATAGATACTGGTAGCTTTATTTTATTAGATGTGATGTGGAAATCAGCATGTAAACTAAGTGAAATACAATACTTGTCATGTCATCAATGGATAAGAATTTGAAAATATTGGTAAATGTTCCTTTTGGGGCCCCGCTCTAGCCCCTGGGGATGGGGCAGGAATCCTAATTTTACAAAGTAAAACTCTCATTTACCCAAGATGATTCTGACTAAGTTTGAGCAATTTTCTGCTGAAAATATATAAAATATATACCGAAAAGTGTTATTTCCCTATATAAACTATATTAAACGTTAACCCCTCCCCAAGGGAGAACGGATAGCTCGGGGTCCTGATATTTTCAATTTAAATAAAGCCCCTGATGATCTTTCTTTCCACGTAAAGAAAATCACTGTAGTACCTCTGAGTCTGGAGAAGAAGATTTTTGAAATATTGATTAATTTTCCCTTTGGGGCCCCGCCCTGGCCCCAGGGGTCGGGGTAGGAATCTCAATTTTACAATTTGAAACCATCTACCTCCAAGGATAATTCTCACCAAGTAAAAATAATTTCCTACAGAAAGTTGTCAAAATATACCCAAAAGTGTTATTTCCCTATATAAACTATAGTAAACTTTACCCCCTCCCCAAGGGAGAACGGATAGCTCGGGGGTCCTGAAATTTACAATTTAAGTAAAGCCCCTGATGATCTTTCTTTCCACGTAGAGAAAATCACTGTAGTACCTCTGAGTCTGGAGAAGAAGATTTTTGAAATATTGGATAATTTTCCCTTTGGGGCCCCGCCCTGGCCCCAGGGGTCGGGGTAGGAATCCCAATTTTACAATTTTGAAGCCTCATCTACCAAGGATGATTCTGACCAAGTTTGAAAAAAATCCATCCACTGGTTCTTGAGAAGAAGTTGAAAATGTAAAAGTTTACGCACGACGCACGACGGACGACGAGCGATTGGAATAGGTCACCTGAGCTTTGCTCAAGTGACCTATTCCAATGTGATGTGTCTACAATTGTTGTTAACTACTGTAACACACTCCCTATGTTAACTACTGTAACACACTCCCTATGTTAACCACTGTAACACACTCCCTATGTTAACTACTGTAACACACTCCCTATTGCACGATATCCATTTGTTATTGAAATTCCAGTCATACTGCAGACACATTCAAACCTGACAGACTTTGAAAGGTACATTTCCTGAAGCACATGGCACAACTTGCATGCGCATTACTTCAAATTGAATTGAACTTAATATCAAACAAATTCACTGCGACTTTTGATTTTTTATCTGGCATTGATGTGATTTCACCAGGCCCAAAGGACATATTGAAGGAAATTATTATTTCACCCGGCTAAACGTTTATGGAATAACAAACATAATTTCAAGGTTATTGGTGTTTTCAATTTGTTTACTGTGTATTATTTTGTGTAGCTATCACTGTAGTATTTTATTTCTTTAACATCAAATAATAGTATTGATACCAATCAGGGGTTTAAGGTAACATCTAAGAAGAATGAACCATAAAAACAAGAGATCCCAGAGGGATCTTGGCGCCCACCATTGTACCATCTTCATTAGCTCTTTGTCAGTTCGATCTTTTCTCTTCTTTCCTCTAATCTGTTTGATCCAGTCATGTTAACAGTAAATACACCTTGAGGTAACTTTTGATCTAAACTTAATACTGATGTGTATGAAAGCCAACCTTCAAAGTGAGTTTGTCATTTCACATATTTACTAGTACAGTACTTAATGTGAAAGAAATAGAATCGATCATTGCAATATGAGAAAGATCTGTTTAGTTCTTCCTTTAACCCATTTTGTTTTTATGATCAGTCTCAAAATATAACATACACAACGAGGGATCAAGGGGAACCTACATTTAAA